AGCTGAGATTACAGGCACCCGCCACAACGCCCGGCCATTTTTTGGTTGCAGCCGTCATTGTTGTTTGGCAGGCCCAGGCTGGGGATCCGAACCCGCTACCTTAGGTGTATGTGGCTGGCGCCTTAGCCGCTTGAGCCACAGGCGCCGAGCCATGGGCATTCTTATAAACCTATCTGTGGCAGAAGAATGTTTTTCTTTTAATTTAAAACAAAACAAAACAAAACAACTTTGATTAAGAGATGGAATCTTTGTGTTGCCCAGGTTGGTCTTAAAGCCCTGGGCTCAAAAATGATCTTTCTCTTCAGATGGAGTAGCTGGGACTACAGATGTGTGCCACCACATCTGGCTTTGTGGGATTTTTTTCTTTCTCCTTCTTTCTTAAGAGATGACATCTTGGGCAGTGCCTGTGGCTCAGTGAGTAGGGCGCTGACCCCATATACCAAGGGTGGTGGGTTCGAACCCAGCCCCAGCCAAACTGCAATTAAAAACAAAAAACAGCTGGGCGTAGTGGCGGGTGCCTGTAGTTCCAGCTACTCAGGAGGCTGAGGCAAGAGAATTGCCTAGGCCCAAGAGCTGGAGGTTGCTGTGAGCTGTGACTCTACGGCACTCTACTGAAGGTGATAAAGTGAGACTCTGTCTCTAAAAGAAAAAAAATGACATTTTGCTATGTTGTCCAGGCTGGAGTGCAGTGGCTGTTCACAGGCACAGCTCTAGCACTCTATGGCTTTGCATTCCTGGGCCTGAGCCATCTTCCTGAGCAGCTGGGACTACAGGCCCTGTCCACCCCACCTGGCTTAGTGCAGTCTTTTTTCTGTTTTGTCTTTTTTCTATTTGTTTGTTTTTAAGATTCCAGGTGAGGGATTTCCGGGTCAGAAGGTGAGGTTGTAAGATTTGAAGAGCTATTACTAAGGCTTTCTAAAAAGGTAGTACAGCCTTCCTCCTTTCTTGGCCCATGCAATGCTTCTTCCCCACAGACCTACTAGTTAGTGGGTTCCAGATTTGACATGGACCAGAGCCTGGGTTCCCCTCCCTTGGCTATAAGACATTGAGTTATTTTAACCTTTAAGACAGTAACACATCAAATAGTTGGGCGTTGTGGTGGGCGCCTGTTGTCCCAGCTACTTGGGAGGCAGGAGAATCGCATGAGCCCAGGAGTTGGAGGTTGCTGTGAGCTGTGATGCCACAGCACTCTACCCAGGGCAACAGCCTGAGGCTCTGTCTCAAAAAAAAAAAAAGAGTAACACATCTCAAACCAGGTGGTTGAGGATTAAGTGATAAGGGAAAGCATTTAGTAAGGTTGCATGTTTGAATCTGAAACAGTAAGGGAGCCTTGTTGAAGCTCTCCTGCTGGGGGCATTGATATTAAGTCTTCTGAGCCCTGGTTACTGCTTAGCCCTATTTTGTACTTCAGATGCGAGCATTGCTTCTTCTTCCAGTATCAGCAAGAAGGTCTGTCTTTAAGGACAGAGGGGCTTTCTGGAAATGACCCTCTCATCACTTCCCCACCCTGCCACTTTGGGGATAGAACCCACCTGGCCCTCCTTCCCAGGCTATTGTGCTATCTAGCCCCTGGGTCTTGTTAAACTGCAGCTCTGATTCGGTCGGTATGAGATAATACAGTTCCTGCCGGTTCCCAGGTGATACTTAGTACTTCTTGTCCATGGACCACACTTTGAAAAGCAAAGTCCTAGAGCACTGAGCGGTTTCCAGCCTTGGCTGAAGATGAGTACCGCCCAGGAGTAAAGGAGTGATGATCTTCTGGTTTTGCCAGAGAACATTAAGTCAACTCAACCAGTAAGAGTTGTAATAACATTTATATTTATTATCTCTTCAATAAAACCCAAACTAAGGTGTGATTCACCATGTTAACTAGAGGATTTTGCACTTTATTTATTTATTTATTTATTTATTT